TACTGCCACTGATTTGCTCACACTGTACACGCTTGATGCCATAAATAATGTAATAAATAATAAGTGATCATTGTAACATCCAAAATGTTTTACTGTATTTTCCCTTTTTCGTTTAATAAATTGGGTAATACGAGTGTAATGGTGACTAAAGGGTGTTTTTTCATGTCCTCTATGCTCTAACTACGAAAATATTTGATTTACAAATAAGGAATCCTACTTCGCGGAATTTAATTTATCACGGTAGGGTCTAGAACCGATTAACCGCGATAAACGAGGGTTCACTGTATTTAGTCTGCCTATCCAGGAATAAAATAAGTTGTCCCCTTTGTGTAAGTTCCTTTTGGTTTCTTGAAGGAGCATTTTCTAGTTTTGTTTGTATAAGTCTTTTGTTTCTCCTAAATATTTTATTAACTGTGTACTTATTGTAAATGGTATCATTCTTTTGATATCTTTTTCAGTATCTTCTTCCTTTAATCTGACATAATCCAACATAGCCTGCTACACTGCCTAATTTTTCAATTACAATTGTTTAATTCAATCTGTGGGTTTTTCTATATTTAGGATTATGTTGTCTGCTGATAAAGACATTTTTATTTCTTCTGTGCCTATATGGATACCTTTTATATGATTTTAGTGTCTTTTGGCTCTAACTAAAACTTCCAGAATTACATTAAGTAAAAGTGGTGACAAAGGGCAACCTTGTCTAATTCTCATTCAAAGAGGAAATTATTTCAATTTCTCTCATTCAATGAGATGCAGGCCATTGGTTTCACATATATGGCTTTTACTATGTTGAGAAATTTCCCTTCTCTATCTATTTTGTTGATTATTTTTATTAATAAAGGATAGTGAATTTTATCAACTATCTTTTCTGCATCAGTTGATAGAATCATATGGTTCTTCTTTATTTATGTGATGAATTCTATTGATTGTTTTTCAAATATTAAAACATCTTTGCATGTTTGGTATGAATCCCACTCAATTGTGATGTATTAGTAGTATTTTTTATGCTTAGTTGAATTTTATTGGCTAGCATTTTATTGAAGATCTTGACATCTGTATTCATTAGAAATGTTGGTCTGTAATTTTTAATTATAGTGATGAATTTGCCTGATTTAGGTAACAGAGTTATAGTTTATTTATAAAATGAGTTTGGTAGTAAATACTCCTTTTGTATATTATGAAATAGTTTATATAAAATTGCTATTGTCTTCTCTAAATGTTTGATAAAATTCCCCAGGGACAATCTTGTCCCTCCCATGCTCTTTGATGTTGGTAATTTTTTAATGACTAGATCTATTTCTTCTCATTTTCTAGAAATGTATCCATTTCTTTTAGATTTTTGAAATCTAGAAAAAATAAAGAAATTTTGTCGAATACAATTTCTCATAATAATAATTTATAAATCATCAAGGGATCATGAGGGAGGGAGGGAAAAATGAGGAACTGATACCAAGGGTTCAAGTAGAAAGAAAATGTTTTTAAAATGATGATGACAGCAAATGTACAAATGTGCTTGACACAATGGATGGTTTCATGGATTGTGAACAGAGCTGTACCAGTCCCCAATAAAATGATTAAAAAAAAAAAGATGTGTCCGACCCAAGCCATGGCACTTTCACTTGCCGCATATGCATGTGAAAAGTGGACATCGAATAAAGAATACCTAAAAAGAATGGATGCATTTGAATTGTGGTGCTGGAGATGAATATTGAAAGTACCATGGACTGCTAAAAGGACAAATCAATCTGTCCTGGAAGAACTACAGCCAGAGTGCTCCGTGGGGGCAAGGAAGGATAGATTTCACCTTATATACTTTGAACATTTTGTTAGGAGAGCAGTCCCTTGAGAAGGATATCATGTTAAACATTGCGCATGCACCCCGAGTTTACGCATGTTTCGCGCGCCATCTGTTACGGACGGATCACGAGATAACTCGTGAAGCAGCATGAACCTGTGTTCATTTCAATCAATGGAAAAAAGAAATTTCCTACCAGAGCCTGTAGAGTTTGCGCTGCCCATGGAAAAAGAAGTGAAACCAGTTATATCTGCAAATTTTGTAAGGTACCGCTTCACAGAGAAAAATGTTACACAAAGTACCGTACATCAAAAAAGTACTAGGAACCTTTGTTTATATAGCGGTCCTATGCTAACTACAATATATGAATAGTTGCAACTGTTTAGGATAAGGTCTCCACAACGAATCCAACCAAAGGGCGAGGAGATCGTTTTTGCACAGTGTGTCAGGGATAATATTTGCACACTGTCTTTGATTCGCAATGCAGTTGTATAGTTGTATAGTAACAATAGTACATTGTATAACGAAGGAACACATCAACAAGTGAACACTGGGGAACAAAGAGTGTATTTTTTGTTTGATATACTCTATTTATTTTTACTCTTTTTCAAAGTAATATGGATTATGTTGATTATTTTTACAAGAAGGTTATAATTTCATGAAGATTATAGCTCACAAAAGTAATAATGTTCTGCATACATTGTGAAATATTGTTTCATAATGTGAGATAACGTTTTATATTTAAAAACTGAAAGTTATAAATAAATATGATAAAAAGTTGATGAGATGTAAACCCATTTATGGTTTAATGCAAAAAAAAAAACGTAACAGCGGAAAAAATACCCAGCCACTTGGGTAAGTTGG